TCCCAAAATTCAAAGAATGCTTTAGCCCATCCATAATTTAGATTTTTGTTACTGCGATGACATGTTATTCAATCAATACTAGCTGAAAAGTCTTATTTATATTTATCACAATAATAAATTTACATCATACTATTGTAGTAGAGCAATCAATAGGTACAGAGGCATAATTATTATTAAAATTCTATTTACATTGTAGTCTGCCTGTTACCATTATCTGTAAGGTAGGGTTTGAAATTTTTGTATTACTTTCATAAATAAATTATTTTATTATTAATTAAAGTTTATTATTATTAATTGAACTACTAATTATTATTATGGTTGAACTCAACCCCCTTGTTTCTTTTATTTTTTAACAACCCTGCTTTTTCTTATTTATAGAAATTTTTTTTATTTACTTGTTTCCATACTTTTTATTAAATTTTATTAATTAATAATCCATTTTATTGATAATTATAATTTTTGCCTTAGGTATCAGTTCATTAATGGATGAAAAGAATTTTGAAATAAGAACCATAAGAAGACCTAGCGCATTATAAAAAAAGTTTTTGAATATTGGAATCATTAATTATATTCAAAGCCTAACTCAATTATTAATCATTAGTTGTCATTACTAAGATCTATGTCTGGTTTTGAAACTATTTAACTTTACATTCAGCTTCAGTTGCCACTTTCCCGCTCACAGCTCTCAAACTTTTCCGCAGTTTACGAGACCTGCATTGTGGAAATACACATTAATAGACCACATAAATACATTCCAATGTGCAAACAATTATTTTTGTATTGTTAATGACACACAACAAAAGATGCATTGGCAAGCATTCATTTATATTGACTAAAGAAAGTACTTACTGTGGCCATTATTAATGATATAATCATTAAACTAATCTACGGTATGTAACCTAGAATCATAACCTATAACAAAAATACATAAGACATTTCACAATACTCTCCCGTCTTACTACATATTCCATTGCTAAGACTACAATAATATGAAACCTGTACAGATGTAAACTGGCACCTACTACTGCATGATACAACTACTGATCAAGGAGCTGCAACAAAACATTAAGAAAGAAATTAATTTAGTTTCAACAATCTAAATCCGGAATTGCCTTTAATTATATTTCACATTTCAATATCAAGCAAAAGTATTGCTGAATCAGCAAATCATTTCCAGCTGTAATTACCTGTTTAATGTGTCTTTGGCTCGGGTTGGGGATTTCTCAGAGGATCTCATGCACATTGTACATATACACAATGCATTCATGCATGTACATGTGCCTAATTTCTATTTTTTTTCTTTCTTTAGAGATGGCTATCTAGGCATCTCCTCTCTTGAGAAAGGGGGTGGAGCTCTGAGCCCATAATTGGACCCTCCCATTTAAATTACCCAATTTTTTCTTAACACCCTCTGAGAGTCACACTCCCTTTGAGTGGATACCTCTTCCAACTAACAAGAAGGGTGGGTGGGCTGGGACTGAGAAGGAACCCTTTCTTTGTTCTTCTTGAATTTTCACGTGCTCACTTCGTTGCTTGCTGTGCTGGCACCCCTCGCCACGCCCCATTAACTCCGTTTAATGAGTTCATTAAACTCCATTTAATGTGTCTTTGGCTCGGGTTGGGGATTTCTCAGAGGATCTCATGCACATTGTACATATACACAATGCATTCATGCATGTACATGTGCCTAATTTCTATTTTTTTCTTTCTTTAGAGATGGCTATCTAGGCATCTCCTCTCTTGAGAAAGGGGGTGGAGCTCTGAGCCCAAAATTGGACCCTCCCCTTTAAATTACCCAATTTTTTCTTCCATATATAAGGTGACCAACCTTATAGCTCTGAGCTCCATCCCCTTCTCCCGGATCCTCCCCTTTTCCCCACCCTCATCTCCTGTGTCTTGCCCCCCTTAAACTTCAACAATGTACGCATCTATTTGTGTTGCCCCTCCCCTCCAGTCCCTTTCACTTCTTTTTTTTTGAATAATATAACATAATCTATACAACACAACACTGGTTTGACATGCCCACATATCCCCAAGTATCCGTCCCCCTTATGACCACTCCCCACCATGTGCTATTGTCTCTCTTTGCTGTCCTTGTGCTCTCTCGCCATCCTTCTTGCCATACCTCTCAGGTCCTCTGGCCTTAATCGAACATACAATAAGTAGGCTGAGCTCTCCCACCTGCCTAGCGCCTTGATAATGGAGTCCTCCACTCCTGCCTTAGCCGCTGTAGTGGCTGCCCCTGCTCTAAAACTATGGCCGGAATAGTCACCTGAATTGTAGCCCAGTCTCTCCAATTTCTCCTTCACTCTTGACACGAAGTTGGTCTTTGTTAGAGGGTGACCCTTCTCCTGAATAAACAGGGGGCCGGACTTCATTCCTCGCTTTCTCAGATAATCCAGCAAAGCCCTGATAGGACAGAGGTCCTCACCCGATTTCCCCAGGACCACCACCCGGCCTTGGTAACATGGGTCTGTTTTTGATTTCTTCAGTTTTATGTGAATGACATCTGGGTTGGATGGATGATTAGCAGATACATCCCCCATGTTAAGATGTACCTTTGGGTCGTAACTCCCAACACTTGGAACGGTGAATTCTCCCGTCCGTAGGAAGCCGAAAAATGCTACATTACATGCCGCCCACAACATTGTATCATTCTTGTCCATTACTGACTTCAATTGTCTCATTATATTAGCTGTAATCGGCCTTTTTCTTTGAGTCGCTCTGCCCTCCTGGCCACGAGTAGTTTTTATCCCTTTTAATATCTGTTGAAGTCGGGGCATTCGCCCTATTTCTGGGTCTGGAAAACCTGCTTGAATTTGGAGCTGCCGTACTGCTGAGAGGTAGCTTTTCAGTGACGATGCCATTAATCCTTGGTCACCCAAGTAAGCCACATAGTAACATAATTGCACTTCTGAAGCAGGTACTGCCTGTAAACTAAACTCCTTACAGAATTCTAAATAACGTCTCTGCCCCGACTCATACACTCGCCTTGTTGCTGCTGATAAACCCTCATTGAAATACTTCTGAACTGCCGCGTCCAGAGCTCTGATATCCAGTCCCCTTCTGGATCCATGAGTATCTCTGCTAGTTCCTTTTGGACATGAGTTGGCTCTCGATCTGTGCCCTGTGGGGAATAGAAATGAAAACGGTGAATTTCTCCCCTGGATAGTGCATCGGCCCGCCCATTATTTATTCCTGGTACATGCTGTGCCGAGAACCAAAATGATTCTTTTGCAGCAAAGAAGACCAAACAACGTAACAAATGCATCAGCATGACTTTGCTGCTATATCTCTTATTGACTACCTCTACCACCGCCATGTTATCGGAATTAAATTGTATTAGCTTTCCTCTCCACTCTCTCCCCCATATAGCTGCAGCTACCACCACCGGTATCAGCTCTCTCACAGCTATTGAGTCTTCTTCGATATAGTCCTTTTGGGCTTCCTGCAGAATGGTTGTCCATGGTACACTTAACCAGTGCTTCCGCCACCAGGCCCCATAGCCCCACCCCCCTGAAGCATCTGACCACACCTCCTCATCAACTTTTAACTTCCCACAACTCCACAGTAGGGATGTCCCATTCCATTCCTGTGCAAAAGTGTGCCACCATCGAATGTCTGCCCGGACTGTTTTATTGACTCTCATTACCTCTGCTTTTTTTCTTGCCACTGCTATGGCTGCATAGAAGTGCTGCAGAAAACACCTGCCAGGGCGTACCACCCGGCTGGCAAACTGCAATTTTCCCGTTAGTGATTCTAGATTGTCTTTAGTACAGTGCTTCCGATCCAGCCACGCCTCCAGAAGCTCTAGCAGTTCGGTCAGTTTCTCTTGCGGTAGCCTGACTTCCATTGTTATTGAGTCGATCTCTATGCCCAGGAAGGTTATCTGCTGCTTTGGACCCACTGTTTTTTTGGGTTCCAGTGGTAAGCCCAGCCCCTCTGCCGTTGTTTGGATTACCTGCATTGCGGCCTCACATTCCTTCTCTGTACGGGCTATTGTGAT